GGGCTTTTTTTTCCTTTTTCCAATCCCACTTCTTCTTGGTCAGGTTTTCTCCGTAAGCAAGTACGTGTTTGTCAGTTTTTCGCATGGTCGGGTTAATACGAGGGTGGATTGATGTATTCTGCCCACAGGGAGATGGGGTAGTCAAACAAAAAAAAGACTTGCTCAGACTGAAGAACGCCGGCGTGGTTACTTCTGGCATAAAACAGAAAAGTTTGGAAGGTCTTACAATAGACTGAAGTAATTAAAAATATACTTCCATTGCCCTTACTTCAGATGCTTCACACCTAAACATCTGAAAATTTTACTTAGGCTTCTGAAACATATGAAAGCTTCATGGGATTAGTAGTGCGAGTGGGGGGGCAGTAGGAATAAGGTAGCTGTCTCTTCTTTCTGTAAAGCGCTTGTGGAGCACAAAGGAAGCCGTGACCCTTCATTCAGACTGTTCAGCTCCTGTGGAGGAACATGTCGACCTCACTGGGCAGGCTGCGGGAGGCTATTGAATGGCACTTGAGTATTATAATGCATCTAATTTAGATTGCTTAGTGTTATTCTTCATGGGAGAAGTTGAACTTAAATGGGAAAAAGTATATTCTGTTCAGAATACAGACGTGGAGAAGCACCGAGGTTCAAGCATGCACGAATTTATTAGAAACATAATGTGCCTGCTGGGTGTAATAAATTTACAGGTATAACCTGGAGGCAAGAAGTAGGAAGAATAGGGTTTTTTGACAAAACCATACAGAAACTGGCTCTGTTTTCTGTTTATCATATGTATAATAATACATAAAGTGTGGGTGGTACAGCTTCTGTAAGAATGTGTACTACTGGTGCACAAGTAGTACTATGGATGGATTCAATAAAAAAAAAATGCGGTAGTAGAATAGTCTGTTTATGATGTGCATAAGTTTTATACTGTTAGATTTTTATAGGAGAAGAATGGTGAAATTACTAATGCGATTAGGTTCTAGTAAATAAGGGTAAAATCAAGTAAGCACACCAGTTTAAAAGTTCTTTCTGATTGGGTTTTTTGTTTTGGACTGCTTGGAAATGATGCATGTACACTAAACACTGTAATAGAAGTACTGTTTTTTCCCCTGTGTGGTTGGTGGGGGGTGGGGGGGGGGTGTCCTTAAAATAGAAAGAGCAAAAATCAAATGGGTCGCTTGCTCAGTATGTCTTGGGAACAACCTGTAATAACAACATTAGGTTGACTGCATTGCTTTCCTTTGTTACAGGGCCTGCGGTTTGAGGTAGTTCCATCCTGGTTTAAGGAGACACTTGAAAAATCATCTTTTGCAGCCCCTTATGAGTATGCTGTGGAAACAGCAAAACAGAAAGCTCTTGAAGTAGCAAACAGAATGCATGCAGTAAGTTACCAGCTATTTCGGCAATGAGATTTTTGTCTTCAAGTAGTGTGTGTTACTGTGACTTAATTTGCATGTACTACTTAGGTAGTCTCTGAGTGCATTTTCCCCACTAAAGGGAAATGCAAGTTCTCTGTCATTTGTGAAAGATAGCTTCCTGAAATTAACTCACCTAATCAAAAGCAGGTCTCATGCCTGCAGTTCAGGCTTTCCATAAACAGAAGTGGCCTGCATCTCTTGTCAGCAGCGTACCTACTCTCGCTTGGGTTGTATACTTGGTAGTTCCTTCCAACAGTCAGGTGTGTGGCTGATCTTATCCTGACACAGGATTGTACCTGTTCATTCCAGGTATTTGTTGACTGTGGAGGCAGATTCTATAGAAAAACACACTGATGTGAATCCAGTGCTTTGCTGTAGCTTTCATTGAACAGTAGTTCAGTTGAACAGTTGTGACAAGAGAATAGCTCAGAATTTGTGAGTATAGAGGTGCTGGAAGAAAGCAGAAAAAGAAGACACGTTCTGTTTTAAAGCATTGTGGACAAAGAAACGAGCAATTTCATTTGAAGAAGGGAGAAGCTGGTGTGATTTCAGGTTCTGTAGTCAAGGCATCTATTTTGTATCCTAAATATTATCAAAACCAGTGGTACAACTTATACCATCAGTGGCATATTCGACTTTGCCCTTGGCTGTGATGACTGTGTTTGAGCACATAAGGCTGTTCTCTACCAGAACCTATTCAGAAGTCTAGCTGATTAGATCCCACAAAATGTACCATAATAATTTCTTAATAATATAGCTCTGAAAGAGAGGAGTATGTTTGTCGAACCTGTACTGATGGCGGAAAAGGAATGTCGAACACTTTAAACCAACAATGTTGCCAGATACACCATTCTTCAAAGCAAATATTGCATGATCTCCAATGTAAATCGTTATCCAGCTTTCCGTCGACTTCTTTTCAGAGTATCGTGTGACATTAGGAGAGTGGATTTTAAACCCAACCTTGCTAACTGACTTAGGTTGGGCTTTCGTTGCAAAACACTATGCTGGCGATAATGCTAGTTCAGTGGATTTCAAAATGCTTCTTCATACAGGATTTTTTTTTTTAATGATAGCTTTAATTAGTTCTACTATTTAAAGCACATCAACAGCCTTTCCATAGAAGAACCACCTCCCTACAAAGTTTTTCATATAATGATCACAGTTACAGACAAGTTTCCTGTCTTGCTTTGTTAAATAATAACTCTGTACCTCATAACATGCAAGTAAATCAAAACTCAGCTATAAGAACATAAATCAGGAAGTAGCCAAGAAAAGGCTGCAAGGAATCTTTATATAACCCTACCTCTCAGTTCCCCAGAATGGTCTGTATGTGTTCCCTTTTGAGAGAGATAAGCTAAGTGTAGCTAAAGAAAGTTTGGGTTTTTTTCAGCAAAACTTGGCTTGGAAAATGATCCTAGAGGGCTTCAACGCTGTACTCCCTGACTTCCATACACTGGGCACTTCTTTTAAAGGAATTCTGTATGCCACCTTGGAGATCAGGTTGACCTTTGAGAATGCAATTAGTTCTTTACTGAATGCATTTGTTCATCAGTAACATATTTGGGCAAAATCGTGACCTGAGAATGGTCTGCTCAAGCCTCCTGTTCTCCTCACTTTTATGATGATATAAATGATTACTATTTTGTAAACAATGCAAAAGGAGAAACAGTGTCTTGTTTTCAGGTCAGTGTAGAGCCCTACCTGTAAACCAGCGAACTCATGTTTTCTTACCTTAAGTTTTAAAAGGTTTTGTTGTTTCTACCTCTTTTGAGAAATACTTTCTTTCCTTATGCCTTTGCAGAAACACCTGAGAACGCCTGATGTTGTCATAGGAGCAGACACTATTGTGGTAAGAAGTCTTACATGGTTTAGCATTGTTTTAATTTGTGACAAGTGTAGAAAATACTTGTATCTTTAGGTTTGAAATTAAAGTTCGAAAACTATCTTCACTAAGAAGTTATACCTGCAATATGATGTGTCTCTTCGGTTTTGTGGGTGTGGGTTTTTGGGTTTTTTTCCCAACAAGGAAATTTTTGGTATCTTGAGTGCTGGAAGCCTTGCTGCAGTTTTTGCAGAGACACTAGTATTGCATCAGTATTGCCCTGGATCCTCTAGTATGTAATAGAAATTCTGTTCTCGGGCAACTATCAGGAAGTCCAGATTATGTGAACCATTCAATGTTGTGCCTTGTAGCGGGCATCACTTCATACCTGTCATCTCCACAGAGACAGTGAACGGTTAAGGACAGAAGAAGTTGAATTATGCTTTTGTTTGAGAGCTGCAGCCACTGGAGGGTAGAGTGTTGCACTCATGTGCTTGACACTAAATTACGTGTTCTACCAAAGTGTCTGTGCTTCTTGCTCTACTCACTAGAGTCAGGTTTGAAGCCCTGGCTGAAATCATGGTTTAAATGTCATTTCTGACCTCAGTTTCTGAAAATTAAGAAAAAGCAGCAGACTCACTCTGTCTTTCTGTTTTAGACTGTGGATGAGCAGATCCTGGAGAAACCAGTTGATAAGGAAGATGCGTATAGAATGCTGTCAAGGTCTGTAGTTTTAAGTAAGATTCCAAATGTGTATGTTAAGCTGTTTTAAAAGGAGCTGTATGGATTCCTTGATGTATATGACGAACTCTGTGGACACAAATTTTTCAATCATTTTTGAATAGTGTAAGCCAGTTCTGCCACTAAAAAAGACCTGCTTTTACGTTACCCACAGCTGCTTGCTCTTGCCCCTTCACTTTAGGAAGCTGATCAGGGACATAATGAACCATTTTGTTTTCACTTGTATTGGTTTTCAGAGTCACTTATCACAAGTCTGTATGTATGCTTCAGCTGGTACAGGAAGGGGAGATCTGGAGAGAAATCATGATGTGAAAGAGGACAGAACCATCATAGAAGCGGTTTGAGGCTTGACATTTAATGGAAGAATATTGCATGTACAAGAAAGTACATGGTGATACGTGTCCGTGGACAATTGCTTTATATTCTATAGTGTAACTGAGGAAGAAAAATCTACTTCCATCAGTGTTCTCCATGGATGATGGGCTGGTGTTTTTTGAGGCTTCTGCTTTTTTCCTAAAGGATACT